TCCTCTGCAGATGATCTGTTAGCTGTTTGACAACTACTGGCAATGGCAATGTAGCTTGCCATTGCCAGTGTGTGAATGGGTGAATGACTGAATGTAGTGTAAAGCGCTTTGGGGTCCTTAGGGACTGAGTAAAGTGCTATACAAATGCAGGCCATTTACCTTTTTACTCTTTCAAGAAAGTTTGATATAAAGGAAGGTTGGAGATTGGCCTATAATTAGCTAAGACTGCTGGGTCTAGAGATGCTTTTTAAGTAAAGGTTTAACTACAGCCAGCTTGAAGGCCTGTGGTACATAGCCGATTATTAGAGACAGGTTGATCATATTTAAGATTGAAGCATTAATTAATGACAGGACTTCTTTGAGCAGTCTAAAAAGAGTTGTTACAAAGGGCATAAAGCACCTCGAGGTGACTCTTGTTGCGATTTGGCTGAATTGAACTGATTCCATTTCTATTTCCAGTCGTGATTTTGGTCAGAACAGAGAAAGAAATCAGTCTGTCCCAGAGGTTGCTGACTCTTTATCGCCTCCTGTTTCCTGTGGAACAGACATATCAGCAGCAGATTCGTCTCCTATTGATCTACCTTGGAATGATGTCAGATTTTCCTCCACCAAGCAGCCAATGCTTCAGATGTTCCCACATTTGGCCAGGTGTCAGAGTTTCTCTCCTCCTGACCAATCAGACGCAGACACTCACATGGAGGAAGATTTGTGTGCCGCAGAGAACCATCAGAACCACCAGAGTCACCAGAACCAGCAGCAGGATGCAGAGGGCAAAGCAGACAACCATATGGGTGAGGACTGCCTGTGCTTTTAGTTTGAGCCTGCAGAAGCTGAACTGAGGAGTTCAAAACCAGATTTTTAGACCTTTGAAAGGAATCGGTTAGTTTCTGTCTTTTTCTCTTTATTATTTATATTTATGATTTCCTTGGAGACACATGCTAAGCTAAAGGAGCCCAGTTAGCTCATTTAGTGGATTAATTTTTTTCCAGTGACGCATGAATTTTACCCAGACCTCACTGATGTTAAGATCACAAATGGACCATAACGTACACTGACTGAGTGGGAAGCCGTGACCGCAGAGGTAACTGCTTCACCCAGGAGCTCAAAGGCTTGCCACTAGTTGAAATCTCTCTGATTTTTGTTTTGTTGCTTCTTCCTGTTTCAGAGCTCGATGATGACGTAGACCCAGAAACCGGAGAGAGAGCACAGGGTTGACCCCACCCCCTTTCTGTCAGGAACTGCTGCACCGCCCACATCACCTACACCTGGGGGAAGAAAGAAGCCTGTTGCACGATCATGACCTAAAACACTGTCAGAATTCTAAAAATGTTTAAAGAGAATCTAGTTTAAAAATGGATTTAGACCAGTAACAGATATATTAGATGACAATAACAGGTAAAGTAACATTTCTATGAAGAAATATGTGAACCTCTTATGATGATTAATAAAGGTAAAATCAGAGTCAGGTGTTTTCAGTTGAGCTGTTTATATTCAATTCAATTCAGTTTTATTTATATAGCGCCAAATCACAACAGCAATAGCCTCAAGGCGCTTTAAGGTGCTTTATATTGTACAGTATTTAAAGAACTATCTATCTGAGTCTGATTTACACAACATGTTGTGACTCATGACCAGATGAGAAGTGAGGATTTCAGAAAGAGACTTGTTGGTGGTCATTGGGCTGTAAGGGTTCCCAGAAGCTTCCCTACTTTTATATTTTTCATTTGTTGCATCAATCAGCATGCACTTTGTCACTCAGAGAGTAAAAGTCCTGAATTAGCAGCTAAGAACCAAAAACAGGTTCCAAGAACTTTGGCAGTTTGTACTTCCTGCAGCATGGAGTGACCACAGCTACGAAAATGTTCCCACAGTCCAAAAGCATCTATGGTGGGGTCATGGTTTGGGACTGCTTCAGTGCATACAGACCAGAACAGCTCACCATCACTGATGGAATGATGGATTTTGACTGAGAAGCAGGACATCTGCCTGTGGATTGAATCGTGCAGCAGAGACAACAACCCTCAGCTCACAAGGAGAACATTGAAACGTTCACGTGAGGAGATGTGAAGCTCAGAGTCCTTGAGGCTATTGGCCACAGCAGAACCTGGAAGCAAAGGTTCAAATACTTGATATGATACTGGACCAGTCGCCTCAAGATGCTTTGTATTGTAAGTTAGACCATACAATAATTTAACATTGATAACCCCAACAAGCATATGACCCCCTATGAGCAAACACTTTGACGACAGTGGGAAAGAAAAACTCCCTTTTAACAGGAAGAAACCTCCGGCAGGATCAGGGAGGGGCGGGGCCATTGATTGGTTGGGGTGCGAGAAGGAAGACAGGATAAAGACATGCTGTGGAAGAGATACAGAGATTAATAACAGATATGATTCAATGTAGAGAGGTCTGTTAACACATAGTGAGTGAGAAAGGTGACTGGAAAGGAAAAACTCAATGCATCATGGGACTCCCCGGCAGCCTACGTCTATTGCAGCATAACTAAGGGAGGATTCAGGGTCACCTGGTCCAGCCCTAACTATATGCTTTAGCAAAAAGGAAAGTTTGAAGCCTAATCTTGAAAGTAGAGATAGTGTCTGTCTCCTGAATCCAAACTGGAAGCTGGTTCCACAGAAGAGGGGCCTGAAAACTGAAGGCTCTGCCTCCCATTCTACTTTTAAATACTCTAGGAACAACAAGTAGGCCTGCAGAGCGAGAGCGAAGTGCTCTAATGGGGTGATATGGTACTTTACGGTCATTAGGGAGCGTTCACCCCATGATCAGAAGGTTGAGGGTTCAAATCCACCGAAGGCTACCTGCGGTATCCCTGAGCAAGGTACCGTTCCTACACATTGCTTCCTGGGTGCTGGATTGGCTGCACACTGCTTCACTGAGTGAATCGGTTAAATGCAGAGAGTAATTTCCCTACAGGGAAAATCCAGTTTTGAGATCCTTCCCAGACACCTTAACGCCCACTCACATCTAGGTTTCACAATGAGGTCACCCGAAACCCTGGCTGATTGTGACCCACACCCGTTTTCACACCTTGGGTTGTGTGATTAGGTAGAGGTTTATTAGGGGGTCCATTGTCCCTCTTGGCAGATTACTCCCACAGGGCTTAAATCTGGGACTCTCCACTACTTGACCCTTAGAACTGAAAAAGCTTGTTGGATGAGAGGTGAAATGTCTTAAAGCAACTTAAAGAAGTCCAGACGCTTTTCTTTCCAAGCTCCTTAGACTACGATAACCTGGATGACTGAGAACCTTCACAGACATACAGGGGAAAGTATACAAAAAAAAAAGATAAGATGGGGCCTGATTGAATCAGTTATGATTAGTATCATCAGTAAATAAAGTAGCAGGTCTGACTGGATTCTCTTTAAATGCTTTTAGGGCTTGTTTAGGTTTAGGAAGGTTTAGGTCGTACTACAGAAAGAGAGGAAAATGTTAAAGGCTTTAATCTTTTTACTGCAACAGAAACACCTCCATTAATCGTTTGTCTGTTTTACAAAGAACCTGAAACCTGAATCAGGTTTTGTTTTGTGTACAAGAAGTGTCACTCATCTGCTGCAGGTAAAGCCGCACTCAGACATCAGTATAAAAGGTTCTGCTGTCCCTGTGACAGAGTATTGGCACCAGGGCATGGCATTCAAAAGGAAAGCTTTTGTGTAAGAAGCACATGAATGCAGTCCAGGCAAGAAACTTGCAACATGTCAGAGGACGATGTGACCTTTGACCTGCTGACAATAAATTTTTTCCCACAAAGTTCTGACTTTCCCATAAAAAATTTCCCGTAAGAAGTTCTGACTTTCCCATTCCATAACATCTTTCCTCAGAATGTGACCGAGCTTTTGATTTTTCTAAGATTATTTAACTTCCAGTTTGAAAACATGAAGTTCCCGGTGGCTGATTTCTGGTCAATAAAATGATCGATTTATCTGATTTTAACATTTTGTGAGGTGATAAAATAAAAAGGTGATTTCTGTGGTGCAGATTTAATAATTTCCTTAGGGATCAGCATACTTTTTTAGTATGCTGATCCCTAAGGAAATCATACTTTTTTAGTATGCTGATTCTGCTTGATGAATCCCAACTCGTTTAAACTTTTGTCCTTAGGTCTGATTCTAATGTACGGTCATCTTATTGATTACTGAACTATTGATGACAATGTGATGGCTCTATAAAACTGAATGTTTGGCGTTTTTCCTCTGCTTTTGTGTGAACAATAAAGCTATTCAATACCGGGTATTTTGTGTTGTATCCCATCCATCCATTTTCTTCCACTTTTCCAGGTCGCAGGTCGTTGGTCGGGCAAACAGCCTAAGGAGATAAATCAAGGGTTAGGGTTAAGCTCCTTTTTGCTCGACATCACCAACAAAGCCAGATTAGGCAGCAAAGTAACCAGACTAATATTAACATTAGTGTAACTGGTCCAGATGTTTGAGTGTAAAAGTGATATGCACCGGAGTTTCGTATCCTCCACGCAGCATTCCCAGCCTGTGTCCATATTTCAGATTGTTCTGTTTGTGGATAAGTTGGTATCATTAATTATTGATTAAGTCTTAATCTCTCTGTAACGTTAACGTCAATCTTTGATCGGTGTGCATCACAAAGTACAGCTTTAAAAGCCATCTGGTCCTTCAAGTTATTGTGTCCCCACAAACATTTTTTTTCTGTTTCTGTTGTTTTGTAGCATGTTTATATCTGCTGGTGTTTTCTTAGATCACACCTACAGGTGTTAATGTTTACATGTTCACTTATCCTTATTAGGATAATCAGGATAAGAGAATGAACGTGGACTCTGCTGTTCTAAGTTGAACAGCAGAGTGCAGCTCACACCTGTACTTCCTGATGAAAGGCTCAGCGGCTTTATTCAGAGGAGTTTGGGATCAATCACACTAACTCCGGTGTAACATCTTCCACTTAGTTTGGCACTTTTGCAGTAAAATATTTTCTACAATAATCCGTTTGATGTGTCAGCAACACCAGAGAACATGAAATCATGGAAAACTTCTTTATTGACTTAAAAAACAAAAAGACAACATAATATTAAATCTTCTGAACGTTAATATTTACAGATTTTTTATGGACAGTAAACACATCAGTGTTTGCTTTCTTTTATTTTTAATAAAAGACGCGTTGCTTTTTCATTGGATAAGATCTTCTGACTGGTTAATATCAGTCTTCCGTTTCATTGGCTGCTTCTGTCTCAATGGGTGGGGCTTCATCCTCTGAGCTGGTCTGACGTGCTGCTGTCCGAAACAAATGCATCAAATCCCGAAACCTGCGGGACACCTGAAGACACGACAAGAAGTTAATAAAGTGAGCAGTTGACAAACCGACCAATCATGCTGGAAGAACACTGAACAGCCAATCACCTCGCTGGGAGTCTTGTTGCCGAGCAGGCTGGAAATGGCCTGAAATGTGTTCTGATTGGCTCCTTCTTGCTGACATGTCTTCAAGATGACCCGGTCTGCTTCTCTGAAAAATAAACAAACAGTCAGGCCTTCCATAGGTGCCTCCTAACTCCTTTTCCTAATCACCTTTCCTTCGTCGAGGTGAAAGAAAGTACCTTGTCCACAGGATCACTTTCTCCCCGCTTGCAGTCAGAGAAATGTTTTTGGCACAGACAGGGAGGTCAGGAGGAAGAGGAGCTAACCGAGGAGGAGTGCAGAAGGCTGCAGACGTGGAGGAAGCTGTAGTGGAGGGCGAAGCTACAGAGGAGGAAGTAGAGATCGTGGAGGTGCAGGTAGAGGTGATGGAGAGGGTCACAGGTGGCGGTTGCAGTGTCTCCTCTCTCCTGCTCCTCTTTGCTGCTGGGCTCTGTTCCTTTTTCCTCTCCTCCTCTTCTTCCTCGCCCTCCTCTTCCTCCTCTTTTGTATCAGCCAGTGGAAACGAGCCTTCCCATGATGCATCACACCGATCTGTCAACACAAACAATAAAGTTATTTAAAGCAAACACGCACCTGTCTGCTAAAGGACCAACAGAGGATCGTGTGACATACCTGGCAGGGGACTGTCGTCGCCCCCCTTCAGGTCCAGGTCTTTGTTAGCTGGTTCATCATGGGTAGCACTTATCTGAGAGTAGAGTGGGTCCAGACTCTTCATGGCCCTGGACACGCCCCCTGAGGTCTAAAGGAGAGATGAACAGGTAATTCAGGTGTAATTCTTTCTACGCGTTTCACCCCTGGTGAAACATACAGACATACCTTATTGCCATGGCAGCGGGTGCATCCTTTCCTCTTGTGTTTCTGGATCTTTGAATCACGACAAGGGCAGACCCAGTCTTTATCGGACCAATCACAGCCCTGCAAAGAATAGTGTAAATCTGTCCAAACACAGGGTTGAAAACAGTAACAATGTAAATCTGACCAATCACAGGGCTGAAAACACAGCTGCTCATTGTGACAGGACGTCAGCAGAAATAAGCAAACAATCCTGGATCCCGACTTCCAAAAGATCTGGAGTCATAACGGATCCAGATTTCCAAAAAAACAGACGTGGAATCTGACTTTGGAACGCTGTGGATTGTGTTTTTCTACAAACGACCTGGAGTACAGCTCTCCCCTAAAAGATTGATAAAAAGGAGCAGAGACAGGAAATAATCTGACCCCCTTCAGACCTTGTAGTTTCTGTGAGAGTCCATCTTCCTTCTCTGACGCCGGTTTGTCATTGGTTGGATCTTATGTCCCTCCTCTTCCTCTTCTAGTTCTGGCAACGTCACCTCCTCAAACCCGCCACTGGCCCCGCCTCCTGAATTTTGGCTGACGCCCTCTCCACCTTCCAACCCGCCGCCTCCATCTTCTGGCCAATGGGTTTCTTCAAACTGTCCAGGATGCGCTGGAGGTGGGCGGAGCTTGTCAAAAAACACCCAGAATTCAGCTTGTAAATGGGTGTGGCCTTTGAGCAGCATAGACATCTGAGCTTTGAGCTGAAAACATGAAACAGCTGAGATTAGCACAGGTTAGTTCCACCTGTCTGGTTAATCTGGTTCAAAGACCTCGTACCTCGTGGACGCTGGTGGGACTGAGGTCCTGGCCTATCTGCAGAGCTTTGATAATCTTCTGGTAATGCGACGGATTGTCTCCAAAGCTGATCTCCAGCTGTCGAAGGAAACGGCGGCTGCGCTCAAACGCCTGCTGCTCGTCGAACTGCAGAAGCATGAAGAGTGAAAACACCGTTAAATTCTTGTGACCTGCGAATGGACGGAGGCATGACGTGAACTCGTTACTGAGCTAAAAAGCTGCAGTGATACGGATACTTGCACGGAGCACATGAAATGAGGCACGGGGACGTTTGTTTATTCAAACTGCGCCGCTCGAGTTCTGCAGCACACCGCTGACATGCAGTTTTTTTACTTCCTGTTTAAGAATCCATAGTGCTTTGTTCTGATGCTGGAACGCCATCTGTAACTGCACGATGGCAGACTGAGTGCGTGCACTCATGCCCCAGCTCGCCCGAACAGATGGGCGCAGTCCAAACATGCTCGAGCATGGCGGCCTGTACAGAGGAAGCAGTTGCGTCAGCCTCTACAGACATTCACTGTCCTGCTGGCAGCTACGGCAACTCTTAAGGTGGAATGCTTCGCTGTATGAGCTAAATCAATCGGCGCACCTTAAAAAAAGAAAACGATTGATGATTCTTGTCTAAGGAGCTTGGAAAGAAAAGCGTCTGGACTTCTTTAAGTTGCTTGAAGACATTTCACCTCTCATCCGAGAAGCTTCTTCAGTTCTAAGAGTCAAATGTGGAGAGTCCCAGATTTAAGCCCTGTGATCAATGATACTCTAAAGAAACTCTGCCCTTTGTGAACATGGAGATAAAAGGAGCGTCATCCTTCAGCTGTTCTCTCCTCTCATTAGGAAACTCTTCAGCCTCCTAACAGGTTCTCACATGAGGGGCTCTGTGATTGGCTGAGGCTGACTTTAACTTTAGTCGGAGCTTTAGGGATTAGAGATTTGTAAAAACACCAGTGTTGGGTAAGTTACTTTAAAATAGTAACTTAGTTACATTACTAGTTACTTCTCTCAAAAGTAACTCAGTTACTTCAAGTTACTCGTTACTTTCAAAGTAACTAGTTACTAGGGAAAGTAACTTTGATTTTACTCAGAATTTTCTTGTTAATGTGTTGCTTCCATAACTTTGCCAGTCTTCTAGCTTGCGTACTTGCCACAAGTGCACTGTGCCACTTACCAATAGAAAGGGAAAGATAATGTGCATATTTCCACGAGAGAAATCCCACGCCTGGACCGTCATTGACTACTGCCATGATTCTAGCCTACGTCACAGCGTCATGTGCGCCTTTTACATCCAACACAAAAACTGCAGTCGTGGTGCTTTCGATTGTACTCAGAAATTCTGCCTTCTGAATTGGAAGATGTAGGTTAGGGCTGCTCAATTAATCGAATTTTAATCACGATTACGATCTGGGCTTTCAACAATCATTAAAAACGACTGAGCCGATTATTAGCACCTCCCTCGTACTTTACTCTCGCGCTGCTCCGTGTGGTAAATCGAGTGCACCGCTCTCCATTTCGAACACGCGTCACAACAATTAAGAGGACCCGAGGGAAGCTCGGAAAGCTAAGCAGAAGTTATTTGGAGAGGAGAGTGACTGCTGTTGGTTGAAAAGAGAGGTAAAAAAAACAAAACTTCAGTGGTGTGGAAACATTATGGGTTCGCGGAGTCAGACGTGGATCAAGTAGACAGTGTGTAAACTTTGCTAGGATGTAGTAGCTGCACCACAGAGCAACACTGCAAAGTTCACTAAACATAGATGTTTACATTTTTCATTTATTTCTTATATTGCAAACATTTGCACTGTTATCAGTATTTGCACACTATTTTATATTATTTTTTAAAGTCATTATTCAACACATTGTTATTGTTAACCCTTTAAAGCCAGTCAGAGCAGCACGCTCCGTTTTGCCTAACCATTTTTAAATCCCTGTAGAACCTGAACCATGTAAGCTAGCGCAATAATTTGTTTTGCATATGAAACCGGAGGAGTTGTACTTGCATCTTATGCCATCAGCTTGTCCTCGGTCATGGTTTCCTTCCACATAAAGCTTTGCAAAAATTGCATAAAAAGCACTTGCAGCAACAAAAACATAATATTCCAGAAACACGCTTTGCCGATCCATCAGCTGTTCTTAACACTTCCCACTTTGAAAAAGACGTCAACAGGAACTATCGCATTTCCTGCCTGAAACCAGAAGTGATGTCATTTTCGCAGAAAATCTAGTTTTTTACTTGTAGGCCTTAAAAGCCTATACTAGTGTTTTTATAAGTCATGTTTGACTTTTCTGAATAGTTGCTGGGATGGTTAGGACTCATATTGCACTGCTGGAAATAGTTTATTTTGATGCACCTGCTGTTTTCTTTGCAAATTTGCAGCATAGGATTGTTTTTTTGTTTTTCCTGCAGTATATAAAAATTGCTGTATCTCCAAAATAAAACTATGAAGACACTCAAAATAAATTTCCTGTTGTTGTAAACTATTTTTTGCAACTTTTTTTGTATTTAAAGTTTTGAGGGATAAACCTCTTAAATTTCTCCAAGTAGAAATATATGTAAAAAAACAAAAACGATTTTCAATTTTTTTGTAGTTTATTGCACTTGTTTGCAATTAATGTTGTTACTATGGACTTAATGCATACATATTATTAAAATATGGGCTATAACAGTTGTATTGATGTATAGCAACTTGAAATGCTCCCACAAATGGCACTACAGCATGTAAAAAAAATAATATAAGCTCTGGCGGACTTGGTTCTATGGTAGGTCTTAAAGGGTTAAATAAATATCGTCAAATAATCGTGATCTCAATTTCAGTGAAAATAATCGTGATTATCATTTTTGCCATAATCGAGCAGCCCTAATGTAGGTAACACCAGACTGCAGATTAGCTGCATACAGGGCTGGACTGGGACAAATAAATCGTCCCGGGCATTTTGACTAGAGACCGGCCCACCATTATAGGAAAAATCATAAAGCCTTTGAATGAAAATAAACACTGTTGTGACAGTGATGTACACTGTTTTGATGGTATATATGCATCGATCTATCAATCGTTTGTTGTAAGATTCAGATAATTATTTTTTAAAAGCGAGACATTTTAAATGAGAATAAGAAAGAAAAGTATTTCTTTGTGCCCCCCTTTCCCTGTTAATGCCCTACATGCCCCCCTGGCAACACTTTGCTAGATCCGCACCTGCACAGTTACCAGCTGTCAGCTGCTTAGAAAAGGATCCTGGTGTTATTTTTCTCTCAGAAACAGTTCATAACTTCCCTTCAACTCATTCATGTCACCTAAAAGGTAAACCTGTTTCTCCATCACAGCTCTGATGATCCAGTAAGGACATCTCCTGGTTTCATCTTCATGTTTCCCTCTCACCAGATAACCAAACCATATCATGACCAGCAGCTTTTTTGCAGCTGTGGCTCCAGCAAACATCAGCTGATACTAGAAATTAATATTAAATAAATTCTAACAACAGCTTAAACGTGCTGCTGTTGTTTAGCGCGACATCCGCTGGTTTCCTCTTTCGGCGCAAAGTGAGCGATAAACAAACAAGAGAGCCGATCAGCTGATCACTGATCAGTTTTCATGATTGAAGTAGAAACAGGAGAGGGAGGATGAGAGGATGAGAGAAGAAGAGGCAGCTGTGCAGCAAAGACACAGAATAACTGCAGCTTTGTGCTTTTTTCATTGTAGCTGAATTACGGGACAAACTGTTCCCTTTCACCTCAATAAGAAACGCGTAATATTTTCTCTGAATACCAGACGGGAAGGTTGGCAACTCTAATAACTTATGAACAAAATAAAGTTCAACATCAGTAACTTCATAGCACCACCCAGCTGTATAGAAACTCCGTCATGCTAGCTGGCACGCAGTACGGAAAAAGTCAGCATAACGAAAATAAACTGCACCTAAACTTGGTTCATATCTGACCCAGAGAGACTGCAGGTCATAACTTCTTACCTGAAGTTCAGTTCACACTTGGACCGGCAGCCGCCTCGGGTCTCTTTTCCTTCTGCGTCCCTTTTCCTTCATCCACCTGCTGGCCTCCACCACTTGCTAATGTTACTGAATCCGTGGAAGCTCCGCGACAGCCACCACACGAAGTAACGAGTAACGAGCCTATCTAAATCCCAGTAACGAGTAACGCGTTCCTGATTTTGGCTTAATAACTAGTTACCGTGCTCGTTACCACAATAATAACGTAGTTACTGTAACGCGTTACTTAATAACGCGTTAGTCCCAACACTGAAAAACACATTTTGAATTCATCACTTGGAGCCTTTATGAGGAAACTTAATGAACATGTAGCTGATGCTGAAATGCAATTGTGTGGGTTGCCATGACAACACCAGAAGCCAGCGCCTGAGATCGTTATATTGTTTTGCTTTATTTAGTATTCATGTTTGTGTACACTTACAGTGGAAAAGGATCATCTTTGAGTCCAGTGATACATTTTTTCTTACAAAAGAAAGTTTCTGTGAACATGATTGTGGAGTAGTCACCTCCTCCGGAGTCACAGGAACAACAAGTTGTGAGCGGCAGAGACAAGACTGACTTTTAGGGCTCTTCAACTTTTCTACTGCTGGTTTACAAAGCGTACACGGTAAAATTATGCTTGTTAAATTGTTAAGCACTTGTGCACTTTGTTAAAAGACATAAGTGTCTGAAACAGATGTTGTATGTGCCAATGGTATTATTTTACTTGCTTCTAGTTTTCATGGTGCTCCATGATTGTGAGAGGAAATAAAAAAGGAATTGTGGACATCAGTAAGAAGCGTGGATTTTTTTTTTTTTTTTTTTTTACCAGAGTTGATACAGAACACCTTGGGCTGTCATCAACAGGAAAACCAGCGAGTTTAACTCCAATGATAAAAACCACACGAGCTGCTCACCAGTCCACACAGCAGCGCCTGGTCAGGATGCAGAAAAGCGGCGAAGTCTTGGAGGAGGTCTGTCCGGTTTCCCAGGATGCAGCGCAGTTTCCTGAACAGCTGCATCACTTCCTGTCCATCTCCCACCTGCTCAAACTCACTCAGCAGAGACACAAACTCCTCCACCTGCTCAGGTACATCATGCAGTGCCTCACGCACCTGTCGACACACAGGAGGAACATCATGAGCCCACATGTTCTAAGGAGAGATGGTGATTACTGTTGCCATAAAAACAAACAAAGTGAAGACCGGCCCCCTCGTACAGACTGTACGAACTTGAACGAGCGCCACGCCACGCCAGTAAAATCAAATGTCACTATCTAATTTTTCTATGTAACTTTGCACTGTCCACTTTCTGCTGTAACAAAAAAATTTCCTACGTGTGGGACTAATAAAGGTTATCTTATCTTACTTTTACTGCCCTCCAGTGTCCGTGTGGCGGCACTACAGATTCCACTTACATTGCCCCATCAATCTTTCCCTCTCATTCACCCACAGACGTCGTGCTGCTGTGGTCACTCCTCCTAGCTCCTTCTAACACGCAGAACAACGAAAGCTAGACACAAATCCCGGGAGACGCGATGCGGGAGTCATTAACGATGCTGTTATTTATGATCCTCAGAGATTACAATGCTAACAATAATCCATGCAAACACGAACCAAAGAGCCCGAAGGGAAGACCGGACACGTTGCACCGTTTATGTGCCGAAGCAAAAGCAGCTGAACATCAATGACGTTCTCATCCAGGTGATGATTCACAGGTGAAAACACAAACATGACCACGAGCACAGTGTGTGGTAAATTGACTGATTCTTATATAGCGCTTTTCTACTCTCCTGGAGTACTCAAAGTGCTCTATACAACACATTCACATTCTGATAGGCACTGACTCTAAACTGAGTGCTTTTCTAACGACATTCACACTCCGACAGATGCATCGGAGAACATCAATATCTTCCACAAGGATATTTGGCATGCAGACTGGAGGAGCCAGCGATCCACCAACGTTCCAATCAGTAGTTGACCTGCTCTACCTCCCACATGGTGGAGGGGTGGGTGGAGACCTATCAAGTGATCATTCACTAAAATCTGACCAATCCTGCTGGAGGAGCAGCCACGAACGTTTTCTCATTTATCACAAGAAACGCAGGAAACTGAAAGGAGGTTCGGAGGCGATGATGTCAGCGTCTGGAGAGACCACGTGTGCAAAGATGGGAGCTCAGCAAACAGCGGGACGATTTAACGTCCATTGCTCACCCTGCTGAGGTAACTCTGTGCGAACGCCATGTCTTTGCTCTCTCTGTGCGGGTCGTTGTCCAGGATGTTTTCGTCATACAGCAGCAGCAGTTTGGCGCCATCTTTGCTGTGGCGCTCCTGACGGCTCCTCCTGAGGCCACGATGAGGTTGGCTTCGGCCTGCAGAGATGACAGAAAATAAGAAACACGAAGTATTCGGTCACAGATGGCGAGTGTTTTAAACGGTGTTCAGACGCAGACCCACCTCGTCCTCGTCCGGGACATCGCCCCCCTACTCCTCCAGGCGTCCGCTCTCTGGACGGCGTCTCCTCGTCTAAACCCGCTTTTTTGCTCCGCCCCTCCCCTGAGTCCTCTCCTTTTGGCCCCTCCTCCTCTTCCTCTTCCTCCTCCTGCGACCCAGGAGAGGTGGGAGAGTGCTCCTCCTCTGAGTCGCCATCTGTACAGAGCCGCTGCTCCGCCGCAAGCCACGTCAGCTGCTTCATTGTCTCCTAAAGGTCAAAGGTCAGAGATTATCCAAACCCTTGGCACCTCATCAGCATAACTTTTCTTTTCAGCCGTGCTTTTAATATTTTTAAACAAATCCAAACGCCTCCTCGTGAAAACAGATTTCACTGCCGAGAGTTACCGATATCTAAATCAGTGAATACCAATCATTCACAAACGTCTCCCTGAAGACGTCGGTCCTTCAGTTTGTTTTGGTTTACTTTAAAGACCAAACTGGTCTTCATTAACGTTCATGTTTCTTCAGACTGTGTCCTCTGGATTCAAACCCAGCCAAGGGTTTGGTGAGGTTTTTCTCAGAAACACCGTTCTCAAACACACTGAGCATCATCCTACTCTTACTTAAACTTGATCATGCTGTTGTAACCAGTGATGGTTATAATGGCGTTACAAGTAACGGCGTTACTAACGGCATTACTTTTTTCAGTGATGAGTAATCTAACTAATTACTATTCCTATCGTTACAACGCTGTTACAGTTACTAACAAGAAAATGCGGCGCAGTCCGTTACTATTTGTCAACAAACAGATGGTTGAAGCTGTGAGATGTGAGAGATTAGCGTGTTTGGAGAGTGTAGTTAATGTGTTGTCTTGTGTAGTTAGTGTGTATCGTTGTGGATAGTTTTGTGTTGTGTGTCAGAACAATGAGGCGACTGCTGTCTCCAGGTAGAAACAGGAGTGACACACCTGCTGCTGTCAGACCTGCAGGTATCAGGCTGTGATGTTCTCCTTTATAGTGGACAGAAATTATTGTTTTGGAGAGGCACAAATAATTTGTGTGGCATTTTACTGAAGAACAGCTGATTGTTCTCTAAATAGTTTGAAATGGTTATTTAAAAAATCAAGGTAAAAGGTAAATGGCTGCAAATAACTTTGTTTGCAAAACTTGTGCATAGGATTTTAAAATTGGCAATTTATATTTGCATTTCAAGTTATGAAATATGATTCATTAAACATGTTTGTGGTTGTTACAGTGAAAATATCACTTTTTCTACTCTGATTTTATATTTTTTGTTTGATTTTAGATCAATTGTGTTAATACAGTAGTCAAAATGAAAACACAACTGTAAATTCAGAGACGTGAGGTTGTGCTGAAAAGGACGATACCAAACAAAGTAAATAGTTTTTAAAGGTGAAATGTGGAGGGAAAATCAAAAGTAGTTAAAAATGGTCAATTACACCCTGGACCCCAGAGGGTTAAACGTTTTTTAAAGTAACGCAATAGTTACTTTTCAAGTAATTAATTACTTTTAGAATATTGTAACTCAGTTACTTTTTTGAAGAATTAACTAGTAACTATAACTAATTACTTTTTCAAAGTAACTTGCCCAACACTGGCTGTAACACAAATGTCCATTTTAGGATCAATAAAGTCTCTGTCTATCATTTCAGCAGCTGTTTGTGCTGATGAGCTTCTACTGAAAGGAAAGAAATTTAAAAAATGTTTTCTATTCAGCTTCAGTTTCTGCCTCAGACACAAAAACATGAGAAAATCTTTAGTCTTTGTTTCCTCAAACCTGAACTTTTCTCTCTGTGTCGGAGTAAAAATACATGATCAGAGACAACTTCTGACCAATGAGGAGGCCGGCAATAAAACCCGTTTCACTTTTATTTAAACATCACCAAATCACAACAACAGCTGCCTCAAGGCGCTTTATATTGTAAGGTACACCCTACAATAATACATACAGAGAAAACCCAACAATCATATGACCCCCTGTGAGCAAGCACTTTGGCGACGGCTGATCTGATATCCTCGTGTTGGTGTTGTTCCCAGATCATCATACTAAATATTGTTCCAGGATCAACATTGCAAGTGACCAATCAGAATGTTGTGACGTCATACCTTTGCGACTTCGGGAAAATAATAATAATAATAATAATAATAATAATAATGGATTGGATTTATATAGCGCTTTTCTAGGCACCCAAAGCGCTTTACAATACCACTATTCATTCACTCTCACATTCACACACTGGTGGAGGCTACAGGTGTAGCCACAGCTGCCCTGGGGCAGACTGACAGAAGCGAGGCTGCCATATCGCGCCATCGGCCCCTCTGGCCAGCACCAGTAGGCAAGTAGGGTAAAGTGTCTTGCCCAAGGACACAACGACCAGGACAGAGAGCCCAGGGATCGAACCGGCGACCTTCCGGTTACAGATGCGATTCCCAACCCCCTGAGCCACGGTCGCCCCACCACACGAAAAACCGGCGTAAAACAAAAAACTGTACTTAAGCTGCGTGAAACCGCCTCTGTCCGCCGATCAACGGACCCTGACCCTAACCCTAACCCTTTAATAAACAGTAAGCAGAATTGATATTGTCCTTGCAACATTGGAATTTCATAAATGCACGAATGGCTTGGCGCGCAAAGGAATAATGTCACAATAATGTGATTGGTCACTTGCAATGTTGAACCTGGAACAACATTTTCATGATGGTCTGGGAACAACACCAGCACGAGGATATCAGATCATCCCTTTGGCGACAGTGGGAAGGAAAAACTCCCTTTTAACAGGAAGAAACCTCCAGCAGAACCAGGCTCAGGGAGGGGCGGGGCCATCTGCTGTGATTGGTTGGGGTGAGAGAAGGAAGACAGGATAAAGACATGCTGTGGAAGAGAGACAGAGATTAATAACAAGTACGATTGTAGGGTCTACCTTACGATAATAAGCGCCTTAAGGTGACTATTGCTGTGATTTAGCGTGAGTAGCGGTTTAATTACTGCCAACATGAAGGCCTGCGGTACGTAGCCATTAATGAGCATAAACAACACTAAATCGCAAAAGGTGGAAACTTTTAAGGTAGACTTTCTATCTACCTGTAACTCTGGAACCGACAGAACAGACTCCTCTGATGCTGATGACATCACTTCTTCCTCATCTTCATCCTGTGTGAGGTCATCAAAGTCCTCATCATCATCATCATCTCCATGTCGGTCCTGATCTTCGTCCTTATCCTTCCCTCCACTGTCGTCTCTCGCTCCACTCCTCTCCTCCCTCTGTCTCCCTTCCTCTTCCTCTCCACCCTGCTCATTCTCACCTGCTTCGCCTCCTTCTCCCCCCTCTCCTCCCCGTCCCCACTGCTCCTGCTCCTGACCATTGTTTTCTCCTCCATTCAAACTGACACCAATAACAATTGCCTTTTCCTCCTGTTCCTGTCTCTGCTCCTCCCGCCTCTCCTCTTCTTCCACATCTCCTGTACATGACGTCAGGCTGAGTGTTGATACCAAGACCATGCTCTCCTCTTCCTGCTTTAGCTTTTCCTGCTTAGAAAAGACCTCTTCCTGCTGCCCATTGATTGGCCCGTGGATGTGATGCTCCAAAACATTTTGGGGGGAGGTGGGAGGAGCTGGGGGAGTCCACACCATCTGGAGGAGGAGGCAGCCCGGCTTCAGTGTGTTTGTAGTGCTAGGACTTGTGAGAGAGGGAATGGGCAGTAGAAGTGTCGAGGGGGTGGGGCTCTCCTGTGCAGACACGGTATGTGGTGTATTTTGGCCAATAGGAAGGCAGGACTGCATCACCTTGGCACACACGGGGTGGGCGGGGCCTGGATGAGCAGCAGTCAGTGGGACCGCTCCAGAGATAGAAGCTGGTGCCAATGGTAGGGCTCCTGACACAGCAGTGGGGGCAGAAAATAACGTGACACCTGAAACAGGTAAAAAGCGCATGTCCACCTGTTTCTCTCCGTGTGGCTCCACCGGCAGATCCTCCTGTGCTTTGGCGAGTGGCAGCAGAGATTCATTATGAGCCAGTGCGAAGACGCGCCTGTGGGTGCGGGGGCGGGGGCGGTAACTGTTGATATAATTGGGGTGGAGCCTGAGAGTGCAGCTTGGAGGAAGCCAGGAGGGGTAACGGGCATCTGAGCGGGTCTTCTGGATGCTTGGGCGACTGTTCTGCAGACGAGAATAATGGGATAACAATCTGTGCCTCAGATTATGATGTTTGAGCAATACTCGTATAGCAGCGCATGAAACTACACAAAGTTTCTTTTTGTTATAGTTCTGAGACACAAAATCTGAATCAACAGGTCACGCTTAAAGAAAAACTTTAGATTGGAATTGGCTGGCAGGTTCAAACTGGTCCTTTCAAAAACTAAACCGGCAAATTTTGCTCCCAGCAGATTTGTACCTGGGTCTGAATGGATGTAGACAGAGCCACACAATAAAGGGGAATTCTATTATAGGTGTGGATCTGGATCACGATCGGGATTAGCTGTTCAAACCTTGAGCCAGTTTGGCATGTTTTCACCATCTCTGTCCACCGGGGGGCGCTGGTCCTCCTGCTGGACTCTGCTGCAGGCGAGTGGCAGCGGCGGGACGACGCCCTTCGTCACAAATGTCTGAAAAGAACCACAAAGTTGGGCCCCGAGTCATTCATTTGAAATGTAACGTTCGCTAATGATGTCACACGGTGCATAGTGAGGTCACTCTGATGTCACCTTGATGACATTGTCAGGTGCTCTTGGGCTGCTCATCTCTCTGACGTGCTTCCTGAAGTTCCATCGACTCTTACAGAGCAGGTATGAACTGATAAGCTCGTCGGACTGAAATGCTCCCTCGAAGTGTTTCAGGCCGAGAACGATGAGACTGCACAGAGGCAGGATGGGAAATATGTTTTTACTGAGTTCAATGAAGAACAGAAGCCATAAATTTACACAAAGTGCATGTGAAAAAATAAAATGTAGGAAGTGTGTGTTTTTTACCAATCCTCTCCTGGCGTGTATAATGTTCTCAGGTTCCTGCTGTGGAGGGCGGGGTCTAGGCTACAGACAGGAAGTAGTTCTGGGTATAGGAACACGGGTCGTGTGGCGAACAGCCAGGCGGTGTCGGCAGGCAGCAGAGGGAAGGCAAGACCTAAACAGAACCAGAACAAGAATCTGAACCTGGATCTGTTTGGTGCATCAAACATGGCTGACAGGTAGCTTGCCCTTACTGTTGGTTGCAGGGGTCATCTGGGGGAGCCAGCGTCTGGAGGCTCGAGTGGGAGGAGCAGGTGGAGGCTCGTCCCTCTGCTCCACCTCGTGCAGGAGGTCCAGTGCACCCTGCAGGTTACATGCCCTGAAACAGCTGAAGGCGCAGCCTTGCTCCTGATGGTGGGCGAAGTGCTGCAGCTCCTCCTGATAGTGGAGGTGCTCATTAGTGCTGGTTCAGTTTCATCTTATTCACACAGCAACAAGTCGCCTCAAGGCGCTTTAAACTGTAAGGGCTGGGTTTAAAAAAAATAATGAATTTCCTGATTCAAATCTATTTTAGTCTGAATAAAGCGATCTCGATTCTTTAAAATCCTGAATCGATTGTTAAATATAAATGTATTTTATCACAAATTCCAGAATCAGCTCAAACAGGACATGAGAGCAGAAACACAGAGCGTGGATCGTCCACAGACGCGCCGTTGGGGCTGAAACACACAGATTCTGCAGGTTTCGTCTCTCTGACCAAAACTGACTGAACCAGCAGCCAAAGAAGCTCAAACTTCACGTTTGACAAACATCGTCATGGATTCTCTCTGACTTTGGCTGTTTCACTCCCCACACAGCTCTCTCTCCCTCAGTCCACTCAGAGACCAGTTTACCATCAAATCTGTTTTCTGCATTATTCTCTGCTTATCACGCTCTGCTACTGTGCTCGGTGCTGTCGTCCTCTGACAGCAAAGCCTCATTTCTGCTGTTTAAACTGAAGACATTTAGACTTCAATGATTGCTCAGCTGTGTCTGTAATCAAACCTCTGTGACTCTGCTTCACTCCAGCAGCATCAGGTCATGTTCACATGTTGATTCATGGTTTTCTTCAGTTTTTGATCGACTGCAGAATATTTTTAAGGTTCTCTGCTATAAAAAGCCAGGACAGGAACACCTGCTTCAGACACAAAGACGTCTGCTGTGATGGTCACACCTCTGATGAAGTCTCACAGTGTCAGCTTTGTTTTATAGATACAAAATATGGATATGTGCTGATAGATGATCAGAGTTATAATATTTCAGACTGAGTCTGAATCGAATAGAAAATCAGTAGAAATCAGTAACGACACCCAGCCGCAACTGTAAGGTAGACCATACAATAATAGAGAAAAAACCCCAACATATGACCCCCTATGAGCAAGAACTTTGGTGACAGTGGGAAGGAAAAACTCCCCTTTGACAGAAAGAAGCCTCCGGCAGAACCAGGCTCAGAAAGGGGCGGGGCCATTTACTGTGACCGATTGGGGGTGAGAGAAGGAAGACAGGATAAAGACATGCCGTGGAATAGAGACAGAGATTAATAACAAGTAATAAGTTCAAGAGCTGAGGAAACGCCCACCAGGTAAGTGCCCACTTGCCCTGTTCAGCTATTGTAGGTATAATTGAGAAGTGTTTACTGACCAGGTAGCGTTTGGTGATGGAGGCTTCATGATTCAGGGCAGCAATGTGGCGACTCAGCAGGTGAACCTGCGTCAGCAGTTGCACATGCTAGGAGAGAAAGGGTCACATGATATCAGGCAAACACACCTGGAGAATAAGTGGGTGAGACAGGTAACCTTCCATACCTGCTGCAGCTGGTGCTGTAGCTGCAGTTTCTGGGTGTGGTCCAGTTGGAGGGAGGGGCCAATGCGACGCGGCAGCACTAAGACAGAAGCAATGGTATTGTGAGGTTGGGTGGGTGTGTCCTTCAGAGTTGAGGAGAGGTGATTGGTCGTGTCCTGCAAGGCTCTCCGCTGCTGCTGAGCTTCGTACTGCTTTCTGACCGTCTGCCGCCGCTCTGTTAGCATGTTGGCTAACGGTGCCTCAAAGCTACGGGCAGCAAATGGAGACACTGTAAGCGAGCGTGTATCACATATTCTGAAGTCTGATACTTAGCCACCGAGTATTTCACGTGTAAGTAGGTGGAGCATCATAGACAAATTGTTTCCTCTCAGCGTGACTCTTCTTCACAAGATCTGTGTGAAGAAGCAGCAGCAGAGGACACTAGTCTTCCTCCCGACCCAAACAGCCACAGCACTTCTCTGCTGTGCCGTCCCAACGGGAGGCAGCACCGTGCGCCACTCCTGTGTGTGTGTGTGCACAGGTGTTCACCTCACGCCTTGAAGTCTCTTCATACATGTTCAGATCACAGCAACTATGATGAAACCACCTTTACATCATATAATCTTGACATCAATGATACAGAGTCAGAATCAGAAAAACTTTATTTATCCCCAAGGGGCAATTAACATACAACAGAGCAGCATGACTTTGAAGATAAGCACAGGGCATAAAGCCTGTGAAGGTTCTCAGTAATCCAGGTCATTGTAGTCTAAGAAGCTTGCAAAGAAAAGCGTCTGGACTTCTTTAAGTTGCTTGAAGACGTTTCACCTCTCATCCAACAAGCTTCTTCAGTTCTAAGGTCAAATAGTGGGGAGTCCCAGATTTAAACCCAGTGGGAGTTTCCCCCCAAAGAGGGACAAAAGGACCCCCTGATGATCCTCTACCTACATCGGAGAGACCAAACAGCCACTTCACCAGCGCATGGCACAACATAGAAGAGCCACCTCCACAGGACAAGACTCAGCAGTCCATCTGCATCTTAAGGATAAAGGATACTCTTTCGAGGATGCCAATGTTCACATTTTGGACAGAGAGGACAGATGGTTTGAAAGAGGAGTGAAAGAAGCCATCTATGTCCACTGTGAGTGACCATCTTTGAACAGAGGCGGGGTTTACGACACCAACTCTCTGCCATCTATAATCCAGTTTTGAGATCCTTCCCAGACGCCTTAACGCCCACTCACATCCTGGGCCATCTGACCTCAGGAAATCACATGATAAGGTGGGGCCAGGTTTCACAATGAACACACCCGAAACTCTGGCTGATTGGGACCCACACCCAGTTTCCCACCTTGGCTCAGGTGATTAGAGGATCATCAGGGGGTCCTTTTGTCCCTCTGTGGGGGGAAACTCCCACTAGGTTTATATCTGGGACTCTCCACCATTTGACCTTAGAACTGAAGAAGCTTCTCGGATGAGAGGTGAAACGTCTTCAAGCAACTTAAAGTCCAGACGCTTTTCTTTGCAAGCTCCTTTGACTGTCGGCTTACATCCAGAGTTCTCTGCTGCTTAAATTTTTTTTGTTATGGAAAAAAGACAGGGGTGTTGGACAGATCTATATTTAATTTAAATGAGGATTTACTTAAGTCATCAAGAGTTAACGGTTTTATGACCAAAATTACATTTAACCAACATGAGTTTATTCAAATTTTATTTGCAAGTCCAGTTTGGGTGATGAAATTAAAGATAACACAAGGGAATAAAATAATGCACATTCATGAACGACATCTTTACCTATAGATTTACTTTAAGCTTCATTTCCGACAGATTATGATTAATCATAAAAACTATTTTAAGTTGGAGATGTGAACTTACTTCGAATTATTTATGTTGTAAACTATTAATATAAATCAGGTCACTTTAACCTTGCTGAACTGAGGTAGCATGTTTTTTTTGGATGAAGTGGCCTAATCTGAGTTTTGATCATTTGTTGAATGATTTGACAAGCAGTTGGGCACTATTAGTTTTAGTTCTCCTCAGGGGAAAGTTCTGACAAAAGCTACACCAGAAAAACATGGAGGGTTTGGATAATTGCAGCCTGTCGGTTCTGAAAGGTAGGCCAAGCATATGCATATTTATGCAAATTAATGTCTAAATGAATTTTGTGCTGCACACACTGACAGTGATCCTACATAGAATCAGTTTTATGTTGTCAGATCAATAATATATTTAATTACATTTAAATGTATTTGACAAAATGACCATTTGGAATAGTTTCCTTTTTTTAACAGTGAAATGTATACATTTAAAGAGATGTACAACTTTTATATTTCTGACAGTTACTGACTTTTATTTACAGCTGCCAACATAGATGAGGTGTTGCTCCACACCCTCAGTAGGGATGATTTAAGGGACCTGCTTCCAGGGCCTGAAAATTTTATGAGGAGGAAACAGTTGTGGGCTCATGTTCACAAAGAGGCAAGTTTTTCCGCTTTTGATTTAAAAACACCTAGCACAACACATTTTGTTTAGAACTCCTGTAATATAACTATTTTCGTTTTCTTTTTTAGGATGAAACTAAAGAAAAGGCGTCTCATGGATATCTCACCATGTGACCAGGGAGAAGATTATGATGCAGATTCAAGTGGTGGATCAAACATGCTAGTGTATGTTAGTTTGCCCCCTAACATACACTAATGTGCCACAAACAGGACTTTAATATCACCAACCATTCCCATGTTATTACCGTGTATCCACATAAATGGCCCACCCTGTACTATTGCACCGTGAGCCTAAACCTGCTAGTAACTTGTTTCAGTAGACTTCTTGATGCATTCTCAATCATCCAGGGAAGTAAATCTCCAAAAAATTGATTCTGTTCATCTGGACGTAGCGTTTTCTGGGAGAAACGTTTCGTCACTCATCCAAGTGACTTCTTCAGTCTCAGCTGACTGCAGGTTTCCCCAATCTTATAAACAGTACATTTGCAAAATGACTGAAACAGCCCACTGAGGGAACAATGGTCTGGGAGGTCAGTTCCTTAATATTAATTATGCAAATTCTCATGACCATTGATCAACAACCACTGACCAAAACCCACTGATCAAAGACCTCTGATCAATGGCCATGAGTACCATTCACAGAGAGTTGGGGAATGGCTGCAATCACAGCATTGTAAGACTGTGACAGATGTAACCTTAGGCCCCCTCCTTGATTCAGAGATGGTCTTTCCCTTTTCATGTAAATGGCCTCCTTGACTCCACGCTCAAACCAGCGTTCCTCCCCGTCCAGGATATGTACATCATCATTGAAAGAGTGTCAACTACCACCACTTCCCCTGCCAGTGGCGGACCCCCTCAGACATCGGTGCGTTGGTGGTTCTTTGTGTCCGGGGATGGGCGTCCAGGTACACACCGGCTCACTCCTTGGCGGCCGCTTATCGGGGCCTGGAGCCTGGGGCTCGCTCGGGCCACTTCGGAGGTGGGGTGCCCCCGGCCTCTCGGCCTGGGGCTCGGTCACTCAGGCGCGGCTGGCTGCCGGCGGAGCTCACGGGCGCGTCACTGCAACTCCCCCTGGCTTCTGCTCCGCGGCTGCTGAGTGAGCCCTCATCTGGGACTTTCCTCAGCTCTTTCTGGGACAGTGGCGCAGCTGCCCCTCTGTTGGTCTTCCTTGGTCTCTTGTGTTCTGGGGGCCTCTGGATGTCTGGAGTTTTGATCTCCTCCATACCTGCTTCATGCCCTGGAGGACGGGGCTGTGGCCCCCCCACACCCTCTAGCAGATTATTACATGAAGGAACCTTTTAAATACAAGCGCGTCCATGCTCATAGGTGTACACACGGGTGATCACACCCACAAACTACACCCTTTTTGGCTCCTACCTCAACGCACACTGTTCTGTTGATCTTATGTGCTGCACAATAATGTTTAACATTTAGTATTTACTGTCATATTCCCATATATCATTGTGATGTTGTTTATTCTATTACTCTTGTTCTCTTCTGCTTGTTTTCTTTTTTCTTTCTCAGCAGGTGACCCAGGTGATTTATATATGTGTTTTTTTTTTCTGCTCATTCTGTTGGTTTTTGTCTTTTGCCCTTCTCCCCCGTCCCTCTTCTCAGCTGTTTCTCTTTCCCTCTTTCTTTCTCCCCTTCTTTCCCCCAGTCAAGTCTGTCCCGTATTCAGTAAGTGAAAATAAAATAAACAATAAAAGGTGAATCAAATGGACCATTACGGCAAGGCTGGGATGGTCAGTTTGGTAAAGTAAATCCGTTGGGCATCTTTCTTTGCCTTTAGACAATAATTCTGATGCAAAAGAGCCAAACGGGACAGGCCAAAAAAAAAAAAAAAAAAAAAAAAGGAAAGAGTGTCCACTGGCCTGTAGGTGTAAATAGACTGCAGAGTCCTGGCCTGATGAGGTAGCTCTTCTGTGTTGTACCATCCTCTTAGCCAGAGGTTGTTTGGTTTCCCCGATGTATAAATCCTGGCAATCCTCCTGCACTTAACAGTGTACACTATGTTACTGTTTGTGTCGGGGGACCCGATCCTTGGGGTGGACCAATTTTTGGCGCAGCATGTTTTGGGGTTTAAAAGCCACAGAGACCCGGTGTTTAGAAAAAATGCAACTCAACTGCTCCAATACTCCTGGGTATGGGATGGTCTAGCCTTCAGATTAGCGTCACTGCTGTCTCGGTGGAGTTTAATAAACTCAACTCTATCTAAAATATAACAGGACACTGGTGTAAACTCTCGACCATCTCACACTTCTGTTTAATTTTTCCTGTTTTCTGTCTGACGTTTATTCAGCTGTGTGAAAAAAACCCGGGGGATTAGTAAAGTTTTATTTTATCTAATCTAATAACTTTAATCTCAGCCAAACCGATTTACTCACGAACAAATAAATGGTAAATGGCCTGTATTTGTATAGCGCTTTACTAGTCTCTAAGGACCCCAAAGCGCTTTACACATTCAGTCATCCACACATTCACACACACATTCACACACTGGTAAGCTACATTGTAGCCACAGCCACCCTGGGGCGCACTGACAGAGGCGAGGCTGCCGGACACTGGCGCCACCGGACCCTCTGACCACCACCAGTAGGCAACGGGTGAAGTGTCTTGCCCAAGGACACAATGCCCGAGACTGTCCAAGCCAGGGCTCGAACTGGCAACCTTCCACTTACAAGGCGAACTCCAAACTCTTGAGCCACGATCGCCCCGGAGAGAGCAGCTGCTGCCAGATGTTCTAAACATCAGACTCCAGCTGCTTCTCTCTGTGGTTTCATGAAGCTCCAGATGTTTCCATGGGTGATGCGATTGTGGTGATATTTTAAATTTTTTTTAAAAACTGTTTTTTAACATGTGTTTGTATGTTTCTAAGCTGAGCATCATGCACTGGGATGCAACTATCAGTACCGTAAAGCCTGTGGCACGTTGAACTTAGGGCCAGTCTGTGACGGGGGCTCCTCTTCCTCATGCTCCTCCTCCTCAGCCACCACCTCTTCTTCTTCCTGGAGCTGCAGAGGAGAGGAAAACAAGAAAAAGTTTGAAGCTTCGCCCACATACTGACGTTAAAGACTAATCCTGTGAGTGTAAAGTGGCATCGAGTCAAATTTGCGGAAACAAAATAAGAACTCACAGTTTCAAAGAGTTCTTCTAGCAGCTCATTTACTTCCTTCTCTGAAAAACAAGACGCAGAATTCACAGTGAGGATTCTGACACTCTCAAAGCTCCGCCTCCTCCTAACTGCACATCACTTACTGGTGATCTGCACAGCCCGGTCCGTCCTGTAGTCCTCCAGGTCGGGTTCATCCAGGTCCTCTGGGAAGTTGTACTCGGGGTCGTCGTCATCTTCGGCCTCTTCTGAAAACAAACATCAGCTGTTTGCCGTTAGACAAAACCATAACCTTCCTTTTCAACTCAAAAACATTTTTCTGAGCTTGTTTTCCATTTACGACATATCAATAAAGTTTGTCCAATCCTGGATGTTCACCATCAGCATGCTTCAGCAGCTTGACTTTTAAAGGTTAAAAAAAAAAAAAAAAAAAAAAAAAACAGGTTCACAATTGGTAAATGGACTGATTCTTATATAGTGCTTTTCTACTCTCCCGGAGTACTTGAAGCTCTTTATGCAACATGCCACATTCACCCAATCACACCCATTCTCGCAAGGACTTTGTCTAAACTGAGTGCTTTCTAACGACATTCACACACTACAATGGATGCATCGGAGAGCAACTTGGGGTTAGGATACTTGACATGCAGACTGGAGGAGGCAAGGATAAAACCACCAACCAATCAGTAGGTGACCTGTTCTACCTCCTGAGCTACAGCCACCCCACCACATTTAAAATTTGAAGCCTCGAGCAGCCAGCGCCATCATGACCTCTAACCTTCAAAGTCGGGGGCCATTAGGCCCTGCAGCCACTTTGCCCAATGGCGGTCCTCCTCCCGCTGGGCAGTGCTTTCATCGTACATGTCGGCCGTTATGTCAGGAGGCAGAAGCTCCGCCTCCAGCTGACCCAGAGGTACGTCTACCAGAGGATGCTTGGAGCGTGTGCGGTACGCCAAACTGCTGGAGCCATTATCAACGCCACCATCAACATCAGATTTCCTGTCCAGAGACTGAAACACACACACAGGTGCAAGATCAAACCAGACGGGACACATCACAGGTATTTACCCCCCATCCTTTTAATAAGGTGAGAACACAAAGTCTGATATCACACAGGTCCTTCAGTAACAGGAAGTGTTTAAAAAGAGTTTGATATGCTGTTCCCTGGTGTTGCCTGGTTAGATATGTTACCTGACTGTAGGTGTAGGAGGGGCTGCAGTCCAACTCCTCATCAACAGCCTTGAGTCTCTCCAGGAAGGACGATTCAGGAGGAGGGAGGAGCTGAGGCGCGCAGGTGGAACTCATCTGGTCGTGCGGGTTTCCTTCATATCTCTAAGCAATAAGCCAGAGGTCAGAGCAGCTTGCAGGGTCAGAGGTCACTGTACCACTTTGTGGTGGTCAGACATCAGCAAACCTGCAGGGAGCTGTCCATCCTCAGGTGTGTTGGAGACTTGTTCTGGGAGCCCAGGTGCATTCTGGGAGGTGAAGCCAAGCTGTCAGCATCACTGAGGAATGTCTGTCAAGATGAAAAGGTTTGTACAGACGGAAGTCCTGAAATTTTCATTTATGCAAGTTCTGACACTCCGAGTGAGTGTGTGTGTGTTTGTATGTGGCATCATGTTTGAGCGAGAAATGAGGCCTCACAGAGTGTCAGAGTCACCTGCTGCAGGTGAGACTGCACAGGTGCTCTTCATCCTGTTTCTGGTTCTCAGAGTTTGGATTAGTGTCTCTTACTGATAACCTGGATCTCACATGTGTGACATCATGACTGCACAGTGAGGTCAGTTTCCTGAGGACAGCAGCAAGGCGAAAGGTTAAAGACTCACCTCCTCAGTTGTATCTTCCTCCTCTTCTTCATCAGGACAATACTCTTCATCAGATGAGTCTTCATTATCCTCAAGTTCAATGTCAATAAACTGAGGGGCCTGCGGGACAGACAGGTACGAGGGTAAAGCGTCACTGAAACTGACAACATTTCAAATCCAACTTAAAACATTTCAACACAGGCTGATGAGTTTACCTTGTTCACTGCAGACAGACCCCGGTTCACAGGCTGAAAGCAGACACACAGGTCAGGCTCACAGGTAAACTGTCAGAGAAGATTGTGGGATGCTGAACTCACCTGAAGGCTCTGTTTGAGTCTGGACCGAGTCCAGATCTTTGGCTCCTGATGAGAGACAGGCAGAAAGATATGTATTTTACATACATACAGAAAAAAGCAACAAATGCCTGACAGATACAGGTAGACACCAACAGGTGAACAAACTCACAAACATGGGGAGGTCCTGAGTGTCTCTGATTGCCGCTTTCATCATGGCAACCACACGCTCATCAGTGATCACCTCCTGAAACACACACATGTCTGAGTGTACGTGTTAGTGTGCGTTAAAGTGTGTGTGTGTGGTGGCGTGCTGCTCACGTGCAGGATGGCGCGCACGTTGCTGGATGTCAGGTTCAGCTGTTTGGACTTCCTGTCCAGGTCAATATCCAGTCGTCCCAGTTCATCATCGCTAGTCTCGACGGTGACCGCTCTCTCTCCCATCATCCGCCCACCTGAACAGGAAAGTCCGGGTGTGAACAAACGCTAGCTCTGCCTCCTTTAGCTGATCTTTACACAGCACAGAGGGAGGGTAACTCCCTGTAACCCTCCCCTGTGCAGATCAAATGCGGCCTGCACACAGACTGAACCAGCCAATCAGATCAATCAATCAATCTTCATTTATAAAGCACTTTTCATACAAAAGGAAATGTAGCACAAAGTGGTTAAAAGCAGCCCACCCCACCCCACCCTCCAACTCACTCCCCACACTCTCATTAACATAAACGATGTGAATACACACATACCCCCCCACACACACACACACTTAGAGTAAAATTGGGCTGGGTACGCATGAGCCACGTGAGGAAACACTATGGTAAATGGCCTGCATTTGTATAGCGCTTTTCTAGCGCTTTACACTACATTCAGTCATCCACCCATTCACACACTGGCGATAGCAAGCTACATTGTAGCCACAGCTGCCCTGGGGCGCACTGACAGAGGCGAGGCTGCCGGACACTGGCGCCACCGGGCCCTCTGACCACCACCAGTAGGCAAACATGGGGTTAGTATCTTGCCCAAGGATATTTGGCATGCAGTCAGGAGGCAGCCTGGGATCGAACCACCGACCTTCTGATTAGTGGCTGACCTGCTCTGCCACCTGAGCTACAGCCACCCGATATATAATAACAGGGAGCCGTCTGCACCGGGAGCCGGTCACAGACCGCAGCCTCCGGGCTGGGCACACAGCAGGAAGGAGGCAAAGGAGCCCTCCAGCCAGGCTGAGAGGACCCCCAGAGCCCCAGCAGCCACGGTCGATCGCCCGGTGCAGAGAGCGCCCTCCGAGGAAACACTGGAGATATGACACAATAGGATATATACAGGGCAAAACAATAAAGTAAATAAGAACGGGATACAATATAAATATAAATGGAGTAAGAAGATTAAAAAATGAATAAGAATAAAATCAATAAATATTAGGTAAAACCTAAATTAATAATAGAATAACAGGATAGAATAAATAAGCATAAAATAAATAAACGTTAGGTGAAAGCTAAATTAAAAAGGTGGGTCTTGAGCCTGTTGTTAGAAACATGTACGTTCTCTGCGGCCCTGAGCTCCTCCGGCAGGCTGTTCCACAGACGAGGACCATACCACTGAAAAGCTGCCTCTCCGTGAGCATGTGTCCTGACTTTAGGGACAATCAAAAGGCCAGTACCAGAGGACCTCAGGGTCCGCGAGGGTTCATATGGTAAAAGCAGATCTGAGAGATAAGAAGGCCCAAGACCATTAAGACATTTAAAAACCAATAAAAGAACTTTAAAATCGATCCTGAAACACACAGGGAGCCAGTGCAGCGATTCTAAAACCGGTGTAATGTGGGCCCGCCCTCTGGTCTTCGTCAGCACACGAGCTGCCGAGTTTTGCAAAAGTTGTAAAGTTGAAATATTCTTTTTGGGAAGACCAGAGAGCAGGGCAGTAATCAATGCGACTGGTAATAAAAGCATGCATCAACATCTCTGTGTTAGCCCGAGAGAGAATAGGGCGACTCTGGCTATATTTTTTAGATGATAAAATCCAATTTTGGTTACATGTTTAATATGTGGAATAAAACCAAGCTCAGAGTCAAAAATAACACCCAGGTTTTTCACTTGTAGCAAAGGACATAGTGAAAATGCCTCTAATTTAGACAAGAGTTTCTCTCTCTGAGCCTCAGGACCGACGATTAAAACTTCAGTCTTGTCCTGGTTAAGCTGTAAAAAGTTTTCTGCCATCCAAGATCTTATATCTAAAATACAGTTAAAAAGGGCATCCATTGGTCTGGTGTCATCAGGAGACAAGGAGATGTACAGCTGAGTGTCATCAGTGTAACTGTGGAAGTTCACTCCATGCCTCCTGATGACACCGCCGAGAGGGAGCATATACAAATTAAAAAGTACGGGGCCTAGAACCGACCCTTGAACCACCACATGTCATTTTATGGATCTTAGAGGAGCATGTGTCCATGCTCACCATAAAAGTTCTGTCTGAGAGACAGGAAGTGAACCAGTTGTGTACAGCACCAGAGAGGCCCACCATGTGTTTCAGTCTGTTTAAAAGAATAGCGTGGTCTACTGTATCAAAGGCTGCGCTTAGATCCAGTAGCACCAGGACTGAGAGCTTTTGGGCGTCTACATCTAAGATCAGTTAAAACCTTTAGGAGAGCAGTCTCTGTGCTGTGGTTCACCCTAAATCCAGACTGGAATAGGGCTGGGCCATATTATACCGTTCACGGTAATACCGGTATAATGTTAGGCAACGATAGGAAAATGAAATATCGCGATAGAATGGGAGTAAAACGCGCATGCGCAGTGCCTTTGTTTTCATACGCACATGGCCGATTGTTGAGTGAAACAGATGAACCAGAACTGGTTTGTAAAAATGGTGCAACTTCCGTGATGTGGAACTGGTTTGGTGTTTGTCCGTCAGATACACGACAAAGCACATTTTTTTGCAGAACATGCAAGCGGCCGTTGTTATTGTCATATTTGTCGGACTAAGATGCTCTTAAATCTGGGAGTAATCTGGGTCCTAAACTCCGTATACTTCAGGTCAAACAACACTGCAGCATCACTGAGCGTTAAAAACTGTCTAAATTCTTTCATCTTTAATAAAACGATCAGCATTGCTGCTTTACCAGGTGTAACTATAAAGTTTAACTTCCAGGCATCCATGAAAACAAAAGTTATTACATTTAACGGAGTTAGAAGTTAGCAGGAAGCTAGCGGAAGTTAGCTCGCTAGTTTCGCTAGTTACCTAAGCATGATATAGCATGTTCTGACTGAGAGATTTCTGAAAAAAAATCAAACGTACAGCTCTGCTATCACTTCCAACATAAATGAAGACAGGAAACTAAACAGCAGTGACGTTTGTAGGGTTACTGAAGTTGGGCTAGCTGGTATATAATGATGTGCTACGTGATCGCTAGCGACACAGCTATGTTAGCATAACATAAACAGTGAAGCTGGAGGACGAACACTAACACTTTTCCACTTATAAAAGTTAACGTGAAGGTTCTTCATGGTTAGAGACAAATGCAATCGCATGGCAGGATGCTGTAAACGGACCAAACTTCAGTCAGGAGAACAACTGAGATAATCCATCCACAATACGAGGTTAGTCATTAATATACTGCAACAACATGGGAATAGAGCAGCTGCCAGAGAATTCAACATTAATGAATCAATGGTACAGAAGTGGAGGAAGCAAGAAGAATGTGTTTAATAAAGTTTGATTTATCTGACTGCTTTGTTTCGCTTAATGTGCCTTATAATCCCGTGCACCTTATGGTCCGAAAAATACGTACTGCACACTGCAGTTTAATGTTGCAAAGCACCTCTTTTTAACTTCAGTGGATATTATACATGGTTATGCTCAGGATATGTCAGCCCATTTCTACTGGAAATGCCTTTTGGTTAAACTTTCAGCAAGGAATTTGCATTTGCACTGTTACATTTTTATAAAGCTTTAATGTACATAAAAACCAGCTTCTTGTTTAAGTGAAAATAAATGGAAGGTTGTCTTTTTGCGCTAGTAATGTTGTGGAGTTGTATTTTGTCTCGCATCAATTATATCGTCGGTTATATCGTTATCGCAAATTTTCAAATATATATCGTGATAAATATTTTTGGCCATATCGCCCTGCTCTAGACTGGAGTATCTCCAGGATCTGTCTATCATTGAGAAAATCAGTAATCTGAGTAAAAACAAGTTTTTCTAAGATTTTACTTAAAAATGGTAAGTTGGATACAGGTCTGTAGTTATTAAAATCATTACAATCCAAATTGCTCTTCTTCAGAAGGGGCCTCACCACCGCCGTTTTAAAGGCAGCAGGGAAGACACCCAACTGAAGAGAGCAATTCATCATGTATAAAAGCTCAGCCTCAAAAAATCCATAAAGTGTTTTAAAGAGTGAAGAGGGGATTGGATCTAAAAGACATGTGGTGGGTCTCACTGTGGAGAAAACTTTCTGAAGGTTCTCAGCATTAACCAGGACAAAGCTGTCCAGTGTCTCCTCAGGTACAATCGAGCCCTCAGATGTGTTTACAAACATATCGCGATTAGATAAAATATCAGATCTGATGGCGCTGACGTTTCCCCTGAAGTGGTCTGCAAACTGCTCACAGAGTGAGTCTGTGGGGGTTCTTTGGGAGCTGTTAAAATCAGGGTTAAATAAATGATATATAGTGGAAAAGAGGACCTTGGGATTATTTTTGTTATTACTGATTATTTTGGCGAAGTATGAATTTCTTGAATTCCTTAGTGTATTATTGTACATTTTAAGTTGCTTGTAAAATATTTGATGGTTGATAGTATTTTTATTTTTCCTCCATCTCCTTTCTGCTGCCCTGCAATTTCTTTTGAGTTTTTTGACTTCTTCGTTTCTCCAGGGTGATGCCTGTTTTACGTTAATCTTTTTGGTGGTGAGTGGAGCAACGCAGTCAAGGCTTTTCTTCAGTTTGCTGTTAAAATGATTAAAAATCAAATCACAGGGTGCAGGTAGAATCACAGGGGGGCATTCGTCTAAAACCCTGGTAAAATTTGCAGCCACTTCAGAGGTTAGATAGCGCCTCCTCACAGTTCGCACCGAGGTCTCCCGCTGAATAAAATAGGGCTGCTCGATTATGGCAAAAATGATGATCACGATTATTTTCACTGAAATTGAGATCACGATTATTTGACGATATTTATTTAACCCTTTAAGACCTACTATAGAACCAAGTCCACCAGAGCTTTTTTTTTTTTTTTTACATGCTGTAGTGCCATTTGTGGGAGGATTTCAAGTTGCTATACATCAATACAACTGTTATAGCCCATATTTTAATAATATGTATGCATTAAGTCCATAGTAATTACATAAATTGCAAAAAAGTGCAATAAACTACAAAAAAAATTGAAAATCGCTTTTGTTTTGTTTACATATATTTCTACTTGGAGAAATTTAAGAGGTTTATCCCTCAAAACTTTAAATACAATAAAGTTGCAAAAAATAGTTTCCCACCACAGGAAATTTATTTTGAGTGTCTTCATAGTTTTATTTTGGAGATACAGCAATTTTTATATACTGCAGGAAAAACAAAAAACAATCCTATGATGCAAATTTGCAAAGAAAACAGCAGGTGCATCATTTCACTGTGGGAAGTGTTACGAACAGCTGATAGGAACGGCAAAGCGTGTTTCTGGAATATTATGTTTTTGTTCCTGCAAGCGCTTTTTATGCAATTTTTGCAAAGCTATATGTGGAACGAAACCGTGACCGAGGACAAGCTGATGGCATCAGATGTAAGTACAACTCCTCCGGTTTCATATGCAAAACAAATTATTGCGCTAGCTTACGCGGTTCAGGTGCTACAGGGATTTAAAAATAGTTACGCAAAACGGAGCGTGCTGCTCTGACCGGCTTTAAAGGGTTAACAATGACTTTAAAAAATAATATAAAATGGTGTGCAACACCACTGAAGTTTTTTTTTTTTTTTTTTTAACTCTCTTTTCAACCAACGGCAGTCACTCTCCAAATAACTTCTGCTTAGCTTTCCGAGCTTCCCTCGGGTCCTCTTAATCAGCGGTCTCCAACCTTTTTTGCGCCACGGACCGGTTTATGCCCGACAATATTTTCACGGACCGGCCTTTAAGGTGTCGCGGATAAATGAGGGAGGGGCTAATAATCGGCTCAGTCATTTTTAATGATCGTTGAAAGCCCAGATCGTAATCGTGATTAAAATTCGATTAATTGAGCAGCCCTAGAATAAAACCGGTGATGTTAAAAAACACACAGTAGTGGTCAGAGACAGCCAAGTCAACAACAGAGGACACGCTGGTGGACAGCCCATGGGTGATGACCAGGTCCAGAGTGTGTCCTCTGTTGTGAGTCGGCTGTGTGACGTGCTGGTAAAATCCAAACAGTGAAGAATGTTTAAGAATTATTTTGATGCAGGGTCAGAAGGATTATCTATGTGCAGGTTAAAATTATCATATTATATTTTGAATGTATGTTTGTTAAAAATTCTGAGAATTCCTTGATAAAAGCAGCACTGTCTTTAGGTGGTCTGTAAACTGTGACAGATAAAACTGGAGGGCTGCTGAAAACAATAGCATGGAATTCAAAAGTGATAAAATGATCAACCCTGGTGAATTCATCCTTCCTTTTAAACACCATTAGATATAATGACATCACCTGAGACAGGTGTGGCATCCTCTTCTTGTGTGTCAGTGGGATGTCCTGTCTGCAGCTGCCTGTCCATCCCTCTGTTTGTCCTCAAACATTTGACCTCCAGAAGACAGACATCTTCCTCAGCGATACGCCGCATCGCCATCGTCTGAAACACAGAGAGCAATGAGACAGTTACTGATTGAGATCAACAAAATCATCAATATGGGAACTCCACCTTCAGCTGCTGATACATTCTTTAATCTGAATGAAGGTTTGAACTCTGATGTTCTTCACACCCAGCTTATGTCCTATTGATCAATCAGAGATGTTTATCATTTTATAAAATCTGAGCATAAAGGCTTAAACTTGACAGCCAGCTTATGATGAAACAGGTGATCACTGAACAGCTGGAGTCAGCTGGCAGACGAATAAGTTGCTGATAAACAGAGGGTTAGGTTAGGGTCCCTCTAGCAAGATTTACCTAATAAAGTATCCAAACTAAACCATTTACAGCTAGATTTGGAAATAAAACAGTGTGTTAAAGTAAGTAAGTGAAAAGACTGAATAACCAAGCTCAAGCTCAGCATTCAGGTTACAGTTCGGTGCTTCTCCGGGAACGGTGTGACCACTGTGACCGATGAGGTCGTCGACGTTACGGCGAGCCGGGGCTCCAGCGCTGTGCTAACTCAGGGACCGCAGAGTTCCAGCATCAGCACGGGACCTACCGGGAGCTTCACGGTGTTATGGTGGATCCACACAGAGCCGATTAAAGCTCAAGCTCAAACTGCTCAGCAAACATAAACATGTTGGTGTTTGTGTGTGTGTGAGAGAGAAAGCTAATGTTAGCTTAGCTCACACACTGAGCAGGCGCAGTATGGTTTGTTTAGCGCGTATTGCTCCAAGATCAATAAATAAAACGGGACCCATTGCCCAGGAGACAGAACCGATCACACGGACGGAAGGAAAGGACTCACCGTCAGGCTGAAACCGACAGCCATCTTTTACGCTCTCATCTTCCGATGTTTGCTCCGTTAGCCTGTTAGCTTAGCTTCTGTTCCGCCAACATCAATACCACTTCCGGGGCGAGACCTTGACTGGGGCTTTGGAGCGACAGAGGAGCGAAAGCACCACATCAGCCAGTAGCGGTTTTTGATACGGGCGACACGGGCGGTTGCCCGGGGCGGCATCACGGGCATCGGCAAAAAAAAAAAAAGAAAAAAAAATTGTTCGTACTCATGCTGCCCCGACGTCAGCCAGCGCATATTGGGAATGGTACAGGCACCGATCGGTTTTCTATCACCCATTTGCTGGGAGTAAGGGCGCCCTCCGTTTGCGAGGTGCGCCTGCTGCTTGCGGCACAGGGAGGAGAGGGCGGGGCGGCGGGGGATTCTCTGGCTGGCTGGAGCGGCATCTAATAACTCGCAAAATAAAAACAAAACAACAAAAACATGAAAACACCAGACATTATGATACAGACTTATAATTTTCACCGATGTTTTTTTGAAATTCTATACGCGAAAAGTGAGCGCGAGAGCCCTCGGTGCGCCTGCTCGCTGCTGAAGTCAAAGTAAACTTTATTGTCATCTCCGCTACTTACAGTCCAGAGAGACGAGACGACGAGGCTCCAGTTACAACAGTGCAAGTAAACAAACAATAAATATAAGAACAGTAAGAAAATAAATATACGCTTTAGGACTCGGGGTAAAGGGATCAATAACAATTTAAAATGTATAATTTACAGTTTGATGATTTAAAGTCTCACACACAACTTGTCGAAAGGGGAGGGGCCGGCTGCTTCCAAATAGAGCCCATTTCATTCATAATGTTGTAAATTATGTGTAATGGCTATCTTTGTTTCTTCTTGGAGTTCTCTATTTCTCTTATATCTAAAATAAGAGTCTGGATGGACAAGAGGCTGTTTTACGTGTCGGTTTGTGCAACAACGACAGTAAAACCATCGCGTCGCGCCGCCATTCGCTTGTTTTATTTCTCACAAACCTTTCACAACAAAAGCACCATATCCTTTTCAGGCTTTTCAAAATAAAACATGTAATAACTATAAATGGCGCTAACATTCCGGCCCCTAATTGTTACTGCTAAGGCATAACAATTACATATTAACACCATAAAGCGTCATTTAATATCAACACTCAGAATCTAACTGGCTTAACCAAACATTATATGAAACATAAGTCATATGTGTTGAACATATATCTGTTACACATGAGGCTGAGATTCAAACTGTTGCCTCCATTTCAAGCAACAAACATAACTTGTCGATAGGCCTCTCCAAAACGCTAGTTTTGGTTTTGACAAACACACGTCTGACAAGTCCATGTGAGTCTGGAACTGTTCTCTCAACCTTTCCCATTAACCAGGAACTTCTTGGTGCGCTGTCATCAACTATGAGAACAACATCTCCTGGTCTCAGATTTCTCCTAGTCACTAACCACTTCTGTCTTTCTTGTAGAAGCGGCAAATACTCTTTAGTCCAACGCTTCCAAAAAATGTCTGACAGGTACTGCACCTGTCTCCACCTTTTTTTTTGCATACAAGTCCTCTCTTTGAAACAATCCAGGTGGCAGTACTGGCTGCCCTTTAAGAAGAAGTAGATGATTAGGTGTAAGTGCGTCTAAATCATTGGGCTCATTAGACACTCTTGTTATTGGCCTGCCGTTGACAATTGCTTCAACTTCACATAGCAATGTCCGCAAGCATTCATCATCCAGAGGTTGCTGCTTTAGGATCTGGTTAAGAATTCTCCTAACTGAGCGAATTTGTCTCTCCCAGATTCCTCCAAAATGTGACCCTGCTGGGGGGTTAAATATCCAGGTGATGCCCTTTTGCATGAGCATTTCTGAAATTTTTGAATGATTCCATCCCTTGATTGCTTCACGCATTTTCTTTTCTGCACCCACAAGGTTAGTGCCATTGCCTGATCTCATGACAGACACTTGACCTCATCTTGCAATAAACCTCCTGAATGCATTTATGCAAGAATCAGTCTCAAGTGAGTGGGCAACTTCTATGTGTATTGCTCTAACAGCAAGACATGTAAACAATACACCATATCGCTTAACTCTGCTGCGCCCATGCTTGACCTCAAAAGGTCCAAAATAGTCTACGCCCACATTTGTGAATGGAGGTTTGTCAGGAATCAGACGATCTTGTGGCAAGTTTGCCATTCTTTGTTCACCAGGTTTCGCAGATGTCCTTCTACATGTTACACACTTTGACAGGATCTTTCTTATTGCTGAATCTGCCTGTGGAATCCAGAATCTTTCTCTCAGCCTGGATAATATGTAATTCCTTCCTCCATGGCCTGTTTCTTGGTGAATGTGTCTCAGAATCAAAGTAGAAACATGATGACCTTTAGGGAGAATCACTTGATGCTTAACATCGGCTGGTAGTGCAGACTCATGCAACCTACCGCCAACCCTTAAAACTCCCTCCTGGACAAAAGGATCCAGCTTCGCAATGTGACTGCTCCATTTAAGCTTGTCACCTTTTTGAAGACTTGCAATTTCTTCTGCGAAGCTTTGATTTTGACAAAACTTAACAATCTCAGTTTCTCCCTTTGCAACATCTGCAGTGGTAAGTGAAGATCCCTTAATACATGTTTTGAACTGCTGCATTTGACCTGCAACCTTTTCAGATTTCCTTTTGCTGCTTTCACAGCCACTTGCTTGTGACATGAGAAGCTTCCTTAACCTGCCAAGCAGCTGCTTTTTTTAGACGGTACCAGTCTGAATAGTGAGAGATCAGTTTGTTCACTGGATTTTCATGTAATTTTGTAACATTCACACTCATCACCTCTTTGACTTCGACATCATTTTTTGGTATTTCTTTAATGTCCGGTGGAATTGGCCAGTTTTTCTTATCTTTTGTCAAAAACTCTGGCCCAGCAATCCAGTTTTAACACTTCATGATAAGATAAGATAAGATAAGATAGAACTTTATTAATCCCTCGGGTGGGTTCCTCTGGGAAATTCGATTTCCAAAAAAAGCACAGCAACGACCGAAGTTACAGTTACAGAATTGTTATATATATATATATATATATATATATATATATATATACACACACACACACACACACACACATATATAAATACAGAGACAAATATAAATAAAATATACAAAGGGGATAAATAGAATAAATAGGAATAAAAAATAAAAATACAAGTGAATTGCACATTTCAAGTATTGAGTCTATTGCACTGTTGACTATTTACAAAAAGTATTGCACAAGGTATTGTACAGTGAGGTGAAGAGGCACTACAGCTTAGTTGTTCCCCCCTCCTTTGTCCTCCTGTTTCCCCTCCCTCTCCCCTCCAGAGAGGAGTTAAACAGTCTGATGGCGTGTGGGACAAAGGAGTTTTTAAGTCTGTTAGTTCTTGTCTTGGGGAGAAGCAACCTGTCACTGAACAGACTCTTCTGATTGTTTATGGCCGTGTGCAGAGGATGCCCAGCATTGTTCATAATGTCCAGCAGTTTCTTTAATGTCCTTTTCTCTGCCACTGTCACCAGAGTGTCCAGCTTCATGCCGACCACAGAGCTAGCCTTCCTGATCAGTTTCTCCAGCCTGGATGAGTCCCTCTTTGCTGTGCTGCTCCCCCAGCACACCACAGCATAGAAAAGTACTCCAGCAACCACTGACTGGTAAAACATCCTCAGGAGCTTCCTGCAGATGTTAAAAGACCTCAGCCTCCTGAGGAAGTACAGTCGGCTTTGGGCTTTTTTATACAGGTGCTCTGTGTTGCATGACCAGTCCAGTTTATTGTCCACCCACAGCCCGAGGTACTTGTACTTGTTGACCACCTCCACCTCCTCCCCCTCTATCTGAACCGGCAGTGGACCTTCTCTGGACCTCCCGAAGTCCACAACCAGTTCCTTAGTCTTTGAGGTGTTGAGTTGCAGGTGGTTTGTGTGACTCCATGCGACAAAGTTCCTCACCAGACTTCTGTACTCCTCTTCCTGATCATCCCAGATACACCCCATGATGGCCGTGTCATCTGCAAACTTCTGAATATGGCATAATTCAGAGTTGTAGCAGAAGTCAGAGGTGTACAGGGTGAAGAGAAGAGGGGACAGCACAGTTCCCTGTGGTGCTCCTGTGCTGCTGACCACAGTGTCAGACGTGATGTCCTTCAGCCTGACGTACTGTGGTCTGTCGGTGAGGTAGTCGGAGATCCAAGCCACCAGGTAGGGGTCCACCTCCATCCTGTTCAGTTTTTCCTGAAGCATACAGGGCCGGATGGTATTAAAGGCACTGGAAAAGTCAAGAAACAGGATCCTGACCGTGCCTTTTCCCCCATCCAGGTGTGAGTGGGCTCTGTGTAGGAGGTACAGGATGGCATCCTCCACTCCGACACCCGCCTTGTATGCAACTGTAGTGGGTCCTGGGCGTGTTGTACCTGTGGTCGGAGGAGGTTGAGGAAGAGCCGCTCTAGAGTCTTCATAAGATGTGACATCAGTGCCACCGGTCGGAAGTCATTCAGCTCATTGGGCCGGTTCTTTTTGGGGACCGGGACGATGCAGGATGTCTTCCATAGGGCGGGCACTCTCCCCAGTTGCAGACTGAGGTTGAAGACTCGTTGTAGCGGCTCCCCAAGTTCAGCAGCACACGCCTTAACCATCCTAGGACACACCTTGTCTGGGCCTGCTGCCTTTCTGGGGCGAAGCTTCCTCAGCTGCCTCCTGACCTGATCCACTGTGACACTGGGAGGTGTTTGGGAGGAGGGGAGGGGGGGAGATGTCTTGCTGCTGAGAGAGGGATTGGAGGAGGGGGGTGTCATGGTGTCAGGAAGGGGGGAAGCGAGGGAGGCAGGAGAGTGGGGAGAGGACTCTGTAGTGAAGGTGAGGGTGAGGGTGGGGGGTTGTGGGCTGGTCAAACCTGTTGAAGAAGTTGTTGAGTTCGTTTCCCTTCTCCACAGTCCCCCCCACTGTGCTTTTCTTGGTGTTGTGGCCTGTGATGGTTTTCACACCATTCCAGACCTCCCTCATATTGTTCCTCTCCAACTTCTGCTCCACCTTCCTCCTGTAGGTGTCCTTTGCTTCCCTCAGGCAGCGTTTCACCTCCCGCTGTGCTGCTTTCATCTCCTCCTTCACTTTGCTCCTGAAAGCCTTCTTCTTCATGTTGAGGACAGCTTTGACTTCCTCTGTTACCCACGGTTTGTTATTAGGATAACACCGTAC